TTGGTTACCAGGGTTTGAACTCAAGGGCACTGAACCACTGAGCCCCATCCCCAGCCCTATTTAGAGACAGGGTCTCAATGAGTTGCTTAGTGCCTCGCTTTTGCTAAGGTTGGCTTTGAACACAGGAGCCTCCTGCCTCAGCCTCCTGAGCCACTGGGATTACAGGCATGTGCTACCACACCCAACTCCTTATCACTTTCACCATTAACACACCATTTATTGAGCTCTCGTTGTGTTCCCAAGCATCACACTAAGCTGTATGTATACATTTTCTCATGTAATCTTCATAACAACTCTAACAGCTCTGTTTGAATTAGAAGCCACAAACAGGTTCAGGAACTTTCTGAGCGGTGGTGCAAGTAAATTCAGGCAGGAGAGACACCAAATTTCATGACTTAAACTATCAGCCACACTATTAACCAGCAGTTATTCTTGTGATGGCCAAAATCCATATGCTTAATAATAGGAGATGACCATCAGACACCTTCCCTCCTGCTTGTTGTTACCCTACAGTTGCATGTTGAAAAATATTTTTTTCAGTTTATTAGTTGCAACTCACACATAAAGTATGTACATTAAAAAAAAAAGTCGCTGGGTGTGGTGGTGCACACCTGTCATCTCAGCAGCTCGGGAGGCTGAGGCAGGAGTATCACAAGTTCAACCAGCCTCAGCAACTGAGTGAGGCCCTAAGCAACTGAGTGAGACCTTGTGTCTGAATAAAATACTAAATAGGGCTGGGGATGGGGCTCAGGGGTTAAGGCCCCTGCATTCAATCTATGGTACCAAAAAAGAAAGAGAGAGCACAAGGAATTTAGGTTCACGTGTATCTAAATACTTTTCAGGTTGTTGATACTGAGGAGCATTCTCCCCATCATCTACAGATCTAATAAGAGGAAAGCAGTAGACACGGCAGGCAGGTACCATCTCACAACCCCATGGCTTCTCCCCATGACAGCTGAGGTCTCTTCCCTTCCCTGCTGTTTCCATAGTAACCTGGCAGCCTCCGTGGCCACCTTTCTGTAAGCACTAAAGGATCATTTAGAATCAGCCTCCACTGGCTCTGGAACGGCACCCTCCCCTTCCTGACACCCCAGCTAGCGTGTCACTTTAACAGGACCCCAAGCATTTCTTACCTTGAGTTAAGCTCACACGTTCAGAGGAGTAAAAAATACCAAGAATCCCACGTTGCAGGGCTCGGCTTCCAGTTTTCCCCACTAATGAGAAGAACCACGCCGGTTTCTGTGATCCTAGGAGTCCACCCGCGGCCTCTGGAGTCTGTTACCAGCTCCTACTGTCTCCCCATGAAGATGGCAGCTGACCAGGGATGCAGCCACTGCCAAGGAAGGAAAGTGATGAAACTTTTCTTTTTCTAAACTCAGGGTAATCTTCTCTCCCAAAAGGGTCTCTAACTCCTCCGCCTACAGAATGGGTTATGAGCAGGCTTTTTCTTTGTGGGTACCAGGGATTGAACCCAGGGGCACTTGACCCCTGAGCCACCTGCCCAGCCCTTTTTGTATTTTATTTTGAGACAGGGTCTCCCTGAGCTACTTAGCATCTTGCTTTTGCTAAGGCTGGCTTTGAACTCACGATCCTCCTGCCTCGGCCTCCTGAGCACCCAGCTGGCCTGGCCTATCTTAACTATGCTCAGAACACTTGACTTAGCCTAGAGATAGGCAAAATCATTTCACACAAGCTTTATTTAGAATAACCTGTTTGGTTGTATAAGTATGCTTTCCTACCATCATCAAGTCTAAAAATCATAAGTTGTACCACTGTGATTCAGGAGCTGTCTGTGCTACCATTTAGACAAGCATTAAAAAATATCAAATAACCTAGAAATAAATCTACTTTTTTAGTCTAATGAAAATGTTCTCTACATAGAAAAGTGCTAAATATTAATTGATGTTAATTAGAAACTATATTAGGTACCTATGGCTGCATAACAAATTACCCTAAATCTTAGTGGCCTCAAACAAGAAGAAATAGGTCAGAAATCCAGGAGCAATTTAACTGAGTGTTTCTGGCCTTGGAATTCTTGATAAGGTTGCAGTGAGGGTTGACCCAGGCTGCAGTCATCTGAAGGTTTTGCTTGAGGTGGGAGATGAACTGTTTTATATGACTATTTGAATGACCTCCAAACATGGTGGTTGGCTTACCTCAGAGAAGTCATCCAAGAAGCCAAGGTGGAGGCCAAATCGCCTTTTATGACCAAGCCTCAGAAGCCACACACCACTATCCATACCCTGTTAAGTCACACCAACCGGTCAGGATGGGCACTGTTTAGTCAGCTTTTTCATTGCTGTGACTAAAAGACCTGACCAGAACAATTTTAGGGGAGAAAAAGTTTATTTGGGGGCTCACAGTTGCAGAGGTCTCAGTCCATAGACAGCAGGCTCCATCCCTCAGGGCTTGAGGGGAGGCAGGACATCATGGAGGAAGAGTGTGGTGGAGGGAAGCAGCTCACATGGTGATCAGGAAGCAGAGAGAGACTCCACTCTCCAGAGACAAATAGAGACCCCAAAGCCACGCCCCCAATGCCCCCTCCTCCAGCCACACCCACCTCCTCCAGCCACCACCCAGTTAATCCCATCAGGGGTCCATTCACTGGTTGGGTTAAGGCTCTCACCACCCAGTCATGTCTCCTCTGGACCTTCCTGCACCGTCTCACACGTGAGCTTTTGGGGACACCTCGTATCCAAACCATAGCAGGCACACTACACAGGAGTGTCGATTTCAGGACACAACGGCTTGTGGTCCAGCTCCTCCTTGGAGACTGGCTTCAATATAGACCTAAATAACTGAAAGGATTTCTAGATGAGAATAGTCAGTTTTGTAAAAATGTCAGTTCTTCCCAACACAATGTATAAAACACCAAAGCTCTGGCATGTGATTCCCTCTACCACCAAGAGCCGAGAGAACTAATGGAACTGTCATCCTTCTCGTCTTTTTTTTTTAATTTTTATTTATTCTTTTGACATATACATGACAGTAGAGTGTGTTTTAAAATAATAGATACATGGAGTCTAACTTCCCATTCTTGTGGTTGTCCATGATGTGGAGTTTCACTGGTCGTATATTCACATATGAGTATAGGAAAGTTACATCCGATTCAATTCCACTATCTTTCCTATTCCCAACCCCCTCTGTTCCCTTCATTCCACTTTGTCTAATCCAATGAACTTCTATTCTTCCCTCCCCTCTGATTATTTTGTCCTAACATCCGCATATCAGAGAGGACATTTGGCCTTTGATTTGGGGAGATTGGCTTATTTCACTTGGCATGATGGTCTCCAGGTCTACCCATTTACTGGCCAATGCCATGATTTCATTCTTATTTATGGCTGAGTAATACTCCATGGTGTATATGTACCACATTTTCTTCTGCTGAAGGGCACCTAGGTTGATTTCGTAGATTAGCGATTGTGCATTAAGCTGCTATAAACATTGATGTGGCTCCATCACTACATTATGCTCATTTTAAGTCCTTTGGGTATATGCCAAGGAGTGGGATGATTTAGTCAAATGGGTGGTTCCATTCCTAGTTTTCTGAGGAATCGCCACACTGCTTTACATAGTGGCTGCACCAATTTGCAGTCCCACCAGCAGTGTGTGAGTGCGCCTTTTTCCCCACTCCATTCATTCTTTCATTCATTTTTTTAAATTACTGGTTTAGTTTTGTGTTTACTCAGCAAAAACCAAAACTGACATCGGATGTACTTTTCTTGCATTTCTTCCCAACATCATGTCCAGTTTCCTCAGTAACTAAATAATATCTGAGAGGGGCCTGGAGATATGACTCGGCAGTAGAGTGATTGCCTGTCTTGCATGAGGCCCTGGGTTCGATCTCCAGAACCAAGTAGTCCCTATCATCAAGCTAATAACAAATATTATTATTATCATTTTTTCAGAGAGGGCATCTTCTCCCATATCCCATGAACAAGTCTTTTTGATCCACCAAGAAAGGGTCTGAATTACATAAAGAAACCAAAATTCCTTAGTCTTTGTCATGAAACCCAGGGAACAACAATTTTCAAGAACCCTTCCCTCTAGCCAGCAGTTTATCACAAAGATTCAAGTTTTTCTTCGACCACCTCCCCAGTGGAACAGCCCAGAGTGTTCTATGTCAAACCTTCAAGGCTGGCTCCTGGCACTGTCTCCACTGCTTTATAAACATGCAGCTTTGGAGTTTACTTATCACCACAATCATAGTAGCTTTTACAGATCGATCTCACATTTTGCAGAAATGGTTTTGCAACTACATGCTCATCCAAATGCAGCCGCTGAGGCAGGAGGATCACAAGTTCAAAGCCAGCTTCAGCAACTTAGTGAGGCCCTAAGCATCCTAGACGGAGATGTGGTTCAGTGGTTAAGCGCCCCTGGGTTCAATCCCCGGTACCAAAAAAAAAAAAAAAATGCAGCTGCTTGTTATAGTCACTAGTGCTGTTCAAGAATATTCTACTCTAAGATTTCATCTCACTCTAGTCAGAAAGGCAGCTATTATGAAGATGAAGGAAACAACAATAAGTGTTGGCGAGGATGCGAGGAAAAGGTTCACTCATACATTGCTGGTGGGACTGCAAATTGGTGCAGCCAATATGGAAAGCAGTAGGGAGATTCCTTGGAAATCTGGGACTGGAACCACCATTTGACTCAGGTATCCCACTCCTTGGTCTATACCCAAAGGACTTAAAAACAGCATAACTACAGGGACACAGCCACATCAATGTTTACAGCAGCACAATTCACAATAGCTAAACTGTGGAGCCAACCTAGATGCCCTTCAGTGGATGGATAAAAAAAAAATGTGGCATCTATACACAATGGAATTTTACTCATCAATAAAAGAGAATAAAATCATGGCATTTTCAGGTAAATGGATGGTATTAGAGAAGATAATGCTAAGTGAAGTTAGCCAATCCCAAAAAAACAAATGCTGAATGCTTTCTCTGATATAAGGAGGCTTCCTCATAGTGGGGTAGGGAGGGGGAGCATGGGAGGATTAGATGAATTCTATTTAGGGCAGAGGGGTGGGAGGGAAAGGGTAGGGGCAGTGGATTAGCAAGGATGGTGGAATGTGATGGACATCATTATCCAAAGTACATGTATGAAGACTCGAATTGGTGTCAATATACTTTATATACAACCAGAGAAATGAAAAATTGTGCTATATATGTGTAATATGAATTGTAATGCATTCCTCTGTCATTTATTTTGTTAAAAAAATCAATAAGAAATAATTTTTTTAAAAAAAAAGAATAAGAAGTTTTCTGGGTAACTGTGGTAGAAATTATTTATTATTTTCCTACAAAGCTCTTTAACTATTTTTACTTCTTATCATATTGGTAGGAATGATTTTTAGAAATGATTACAAAACTAACTTGTCAAAATAAATATAAGCAACTTAGAAATTTTTAGTGTTTTTAAAAATGATGCTATAGTGAGTTCATAATGGTATTATTTGAACTAGACCAAAGCAGACTATTTATGAAGGCATTTGTTTATTTTGAAGATAATTTGGTGACAGCTGACCTACTCATTTCACGTGACTAATTTCGGGGGATGGCGTGCATCGTTGAGTCAAAGGAGAGATTCAATTGTCATTTTTAAGAGCTGCAGCCATCAGTAAATAAAGGGGGTGGAACTGATTCTCATCTTACTTGGTGTGGTCTACTTCTCCCTACTACAGTGTATAGGCAATCTGAAAACTCATTAAGGGTGTCTTTTTTGTAATAAATTGATACATTTGGGTTAAAAAACAAAAAAAAAGAATATTCTAGTGCTCTCTAGATTCGGACTGCTTTCTGCTGTCCAAGGTGCTGCCCACTTAAAATGAAGTATGGCCACACTGCATGCTTTAACCACTGAAATGTGAGTGGACGCCACAGGCACCACTTCCAGGTGGGAGTCTTAAGAGCCGGAAGATTTTGCTACTTGATCTTTTCCTTCCCTGTGGCCACTGCAGTGGTCAAGGCACCGGCTATACATCAGCCCAGGGCATGCAATGAGGAGAACAAAATGGTCCTGGGGAAAGGAGTTAAGAACCTGACTTCCGCTGACCCCAGCAGATTTCCAGTCAAGAGAGGGTGAGGCACGTCCTGAGAAGAACTGAGTGTAACTATCGACACCTGCAGCTGATGCTGCCCATCAGGTGTGAGAAGTCAATCAAGGAAGGCGCGTGGCCCCCGCCTGTCATCCCAGTAGCTCAGGAGGCTGAGGCAGGAGGATCACAGGTTCAAAGCCAGCCTCAGCCACTTAGCAAGGCCCTAAGCAACTCATCAAGACCTGGTCTGTAAGTAAAATATAAAAAAGGGGCTGGGGATGTGGCTCAGTGGTTAAGTGCCACTTGATTCAATCCCTGGTATAAAGAAGAAGCCAGTCAAGCTTTTGAGAGAGCTGTTCTAGACAGAGAATCCAAGAATCTGCACAGAGAATGTTTATGCCTAGTCAAGATTTTAAAGCCTCCTTGAGTCTCCAATCTTCTTCAGGCAAGAAGCAGCCTGAGCCAGCTCTTCATGGCCCCAAGGAGGACCCGGCTCCTGCCCTCTCTTCAGTGTGGTAAAATACATAAAATTAAAAGTGAAGGAAAACCCCACCCCAGAGAATGGGGCCAGATGGACTGGGGGACAGCGGAATCCAGACCTAATCAAGGAACATTTTCCATACCCAGGGTCAGGGCCCCTCAAGGGCCGCAAGGATTCCGAATTTCCCCAGGATGTGGCTGCTACGTGGTCACTGCAGTTACTGTCTTTGATCCACCACTAGATTCCAGATGTTGTATGGAACCTTGTCTTTTTTAGTACATAAGTCTCTGGATTAAGAGAAGCTACATAGCCGGGCCCAGCGGCACACACCTGTAATCCAGCAGCTCAGGAGGCTGGGGCAGGAGGATGGCAAGTTCAAAGCCAGCCTCAGCAACTTAGTGAGGCCCTCAGCAACTCAGTGAGACCCTGTCTCAAAAATAAATAAATAAATAAAAAGGCTGGGGATGTAGCTCAGTGTTTGATTGCCCCTGCGTTCAATTCCCAGTACAAAAAAAAAAAAAAAAGCAGGGGTGAGGAGGGGAGAGACAGAACTTACATCTGACCCTGAAATCGGGGCCACTGTGCATCATCCTGAGGTTCTACATGTCCTGAACTTCTAAGAGTGGGATCAACCGATGTAGTAATAGGGACCTCCAAGTCCTGAGCAGGCCCTGGCAGGGGAGAGGAAGAACCTGCTTGACCCCAGCAAATCAATTAGAGAATCCCCCCAGGCCTCTCCCAAGCTAGAGCTCCCTCCTTCCAAAGGGACTACATACACCTCAGTGCACCAGACTGAAGGGTCTCTATCTATGTAACTTCCGGAGCCCAGCAAATAATTTGCCCTGTATCCTTGTTAATCTAACAAGAACAACAAAATATGTATCTGTGGAGCCTGTATCTTCTGTTAGAAGTTGCCAGTATATGTTTAATTACAGTTCTCCTTCCTCCCAAGCACCCAAAGAAAGAAAAAGAAAGAAAGAAAGAAAGAAAGAAAGAAAGAAAGAAAGAAAGAAAGAAAGAAAAGAAAGAAAGAATACACTTTTGTTAAACCCTATCCTACTGAGACACCTTAAATCATAATGAAAGCAAGTAGTTATGGAGTACCTTGAAGCACCAAGCATAATTTGGATGACTTAATTCTCACACATTAGCCCAAGGAGAAAGTAACACTTATACTCTACCTGTCAAATGCAGAAACCGAGCCAGGTGTGGTGGCACATGTTTGTAATCCCAGCGGCTCAGGAGGCTGAGGCAGGAGGATCTCGAGTTCAAAGCCA